TCTCAGTGCAGTGTTAATGGACTGTAGTGTCCAGTGTGTCTGTATTAACCTCTCTCTCTCAGTGCAGTGTTAATGTATTGTACTGTCTTGTTACAGATCTTCATTACCTATTTCTCCAGGGGTCTGAATGCAGAATACAGGTCTCGTGGTATTACAGTGCAGGTGAGCCATCACACAGGAGTCACAGTACAGACCCTCATCTCTTTCTGCTGTATTTGCCTCCCTGCATAGGTTTAATAAGAATAATTGTAATGATTTATTTTATATGGCACCTTTTATCATGCACTGTGTCAGGACAGTGTACAATACAACAGAGACAGTTTTTCACAAATCCATAGAGTAAATTAAACAGTGGGGCGAGTTTTAAGACAGGGTTTGAAATTACAGAGTGATGAGATATTTAAAGAGCTGAGAGATTGTTTCACAGTGTTGGAGCCACTGGAAAGACAGCTTGATTTTCTAGGCTCTCACTGCATCACAGAATCTCCTCTACATTCCAAACTCCGTAACTCTCCCAGAGTCCTCTCGTGTCTCCCAGTCCAGAGCCCAGAATCCGCTAGGCTCTCCTAGGATTGTTCAGTGCCTCCCATAGTTCCCCAGTATCTTGAGGTCTCTCAGGGTCTTTTTGAGTTTCCCAGCATCTCCCAGGTCACTCAGAGTGTCCCAGGTCACTCAGAGTGTCCTAGTCTCTCCCAGGTCAGTCAGAGTGTCCCGGCGTCTCCCAGGTCACTCAGTGTCCCAGGTCCTAGTCTCTCCCAGGTCAGTCAGAGTGTCCCGGCCTCTCCCAGGGCATTCTGAGTGTCCCATGTCGCCCAGGGTGTTCCTGTGTCTCCCGGGGTGTCCCAGTGCTTGGGGCCTCTCAGTAGGGGGTGCAGGAGGGCCAGAGTGTGAAGAGCAGGGGGCTGTGGGGGCTCATGGGGGACCAGGGCCCTGATGGAGTGTCTTCAGGTGGATTCTGAAATCCACTGGGAGCCTGTGCTGGGAAGAAGAACCTGAGAAATCAGAGAAACGTGGAAAAAAACTAAAGCAGTTCAATAGCCTTTAGGAAATAGAGGGTTCTGGAGGGGGGGAGACCGGAGCAGCAGTGTGTGGGCAAGGCCTCTGTGTGTGACCCTCCACCTGTCCTCCTCTCCCTCTTTCCCTGCTGCCAGTGTGTTGCCCCCTTCATGGTCTCCACCAACATGACCCACAACATGCCGCCCAGCATGCTGGTGAAGGACGCGGGCGATTTTGCACGGGAGGCGCTCAGCACAGTGGGGCACAGCACCTTCACCAGCGGCTGCCTGTCTCACGCCCTGCAGGTAAGACTTAGCAAACAGTAAGACGCTACCAGTGTGTCTGTTGTAACCCCCCTCTCTCTCTC